TCAAATACCATGAATCAGAAAAGAATTTCAAGTCAGATATTGTACGTTTTTTACGTGATAATATTTGTGTTGCTAAATTACTTTGTTCAATAGTTAGACTTAATGTTATATTAGTAAAACATACGAGTGGACTTAGATTCATATCTTTTACAGTATGAAAAATTATGTTTTTATTTTTAATTCGAAATGATATGATACGTTGAATAATTAATATTGGTTCGTGTGTTGTTACATTTCGACAACCCCATTCTTTACCACCATTCACAAATTGAACATCTGAAATAATCCATTTATTATAGATAAAAATAGCATTCGCTATTGAATCGAATGTAAGAATGAGTTTTTGTTGACTATCAAATAGACATTGAACTGATTGAAGAGATAGAATAACATCGAGAATAATACATGCTGTTCGATGCAGTTTACCATCAGTTTTAAGTTTGATTTTTTCAATATTATCGGGTAAACTTTTTTGATATTGAATATCTCTTTTCGTAATATCGAATTTTTCTTCAAAGATATTCGAATGAAGTGGAAGACCTGTGACAAAGTCAATATGTTTTACTTTGTTCATTTTCGATTGAGGAATAGAATCAAATGAAGGACGAGTCATTGTTACATATGATCCATAAATGATAAATAAATAAATAATAGAGATAAACATTATGAATAGTCAAATTTGAAATTTCTTTAAAAATAGTTAAAAATATTTTCAAAATTACTCATTCAATTTATCATGAGTACTTTTCGGGCAAAAGATTTTTTTTTTCTTTTATTTATACATCACCATTTACAATAATACGAAATAGATTTTTACTATTTGGTGTCATTGCACTTATATTTTTATTACAGACAATAAATAATACATTTAAAGTTTTATGTATTTTGTATATCGATAAAATCATTTAATTTCAATGAATAAGCGATGTAATATTAACAAGATTAGTTATTCATTTTATTATATATGTTCTATCTCAAACATACATAAATAGAAAATGTTTGTCGAACTATTCGCTTTTTCTCTTACTCATCGTAGAATTTTACAAGCATATGCAAATAGAAATAAGTTCTTTGATCAATGACACTATTTCTACAGAGAAAAAAATTGTCGATCGATATGTAGTATATGTTGGTGTCCTAATATGCAAGAAAAGAACAAGAGAAAATGCAAAATAGTGCATGCAATATACATTTAGTTAGAATATATGAAGAAATGAGGCACCTTTGACATATTGTTGTATATAATGTAAAATACGGTTTGCTTGACGAATAAGTGCTTTTCAGGAGAAATATATGAATATTTTCGACAATTAGTTTCATATACAAATATGTAGTAGATATCGAATAAATAAAATAGTCGAAGATAATTCATAAGAAAGAAAAATATATGTATCCCGTGAATGAATACAAAAATATTGTTGTGTCCAGACAAAGACAAAAGACATAACTATTCTCTAAATTAAGATACTGCCAATCATGACTAGACATGTGTGGAATGTAGTTATTTTTGGTCATGTCCTGATTTCGTACATATCTATTCATTTTACTTTATATAGAATGATTTTGTCAATCAAATCAGAAAAGATAGCTTCTTCATCATTTATTCCAAGTAAACCTGTCTTATCAATGGATATATCACAATCATATTCACAAATGAAAAAAAGACTATTGCCTAAAGATGATGAAATAATATTCAGTGAACAAGAGGAACACATGCAATCAAGCAATGACAAAGACATATTTTAGTGTTCATAATGATGAACTTGTTAATTTTTTTTTTAATAAAGGCATGTACATGATTAGGGTGTAGGTGTAGGTATGGAGTGGGAGTAAGTAGAAGAAAACCATTCACATCTTATTTGGGCTTTATTGCCGAACAGACTTATCTAAAATGAACTCAAACTAATACGCTCGTGACACATGTTGATAATAGACTTAAAAAGCTAAAAAAGTTCTAGAGAATAACTTTGATATATCCTTGGAGTACGCTGAAGTACAGCGAAGTACGGAATTTTCGTTTTTCTCCCCTGTAGTACACTGATGCGTTGATTAAACTTCGAATCTAGATCGTGTACAATGATAGTGACATTAATATTAGAAAAAAGTTAGATGAAGAAATACAAGTATCTGAACATGTGCTGACGATTTGACTGATACTTGGCATCATTCAGTGGTGTATTCTATTCGATTGGCTGAAACTTTACATACAATGAATATAGGATGATTTCTCAAAGGTGATCAATTCAGAAACACAACTCAGACATGGTTTGCTACAAATAGTTCCACTAAAGATCATGTTTTAGCAGATTCCTTACGGTGATTGTCATGCATCTGATTCGCAAGTTTCTATATTCGATGTTCTAAATCGTTTTGTGTTATGAGATAGAGCTCTTTTTTTTCTCAAGTTTATTTATTAAAGAAAAGTTCAATAGTAGGTGAAAATTCTGAGACCAAATAAAAATTGACTGTGAAAAAAATGCACCAGTCGAAGACGATTTAAATAACATTGAAGGTGTATACGTAAAAGTTTTCACTGATACTCGAAGCGTGATTGGAGTATGTAAAAATATTACATTAAATAGATTCATTTTTCTTCCATATACAACATAATACTGTTTGATGATGTGTGAAAAAAATCTTGCAGAGAAATGTTCAAACTGAATTTTATTGATGAAGTTGATTTTAATTTTAGCTTATTCAAAAATGGAAAAAAATAACTATGTTAAATACATCGTTTCAAAGTTATAGAGTGTTAATGAATACAGAAGTAGATTAAGTTTTAATAAAGGTTCAATAGGCTTATGTGTCACTGAAATTGAAAACAATTAAAGAATTTAATTATAAGGACTAACAAATTTAGTCAATCATGATTCAATGAACTATAACATGATTCTTATTAGTCTTGGCTATTCAACGAATATCAATTTAGTATTATAAAATATCATCGTTATATAGAATAATACGGGTAATATAATTATAAAATTAAAATTATTCAAGAATGATGTTACAAATCAAGAAAAATCAATGAGCTATATACTTGATCGATTGCCAGTTACATCTGTCAATGAGTATGCACAATTACATAAAGTAGTACTCAATTTAATTTATTCAATTATAATGAACTTTCGAAGGAAAAATAGTACGAACAAAGTGACATAAATAAATACATTCAAACTTTCTTTTATTTCATTCTGTTATCAATTCAAATTCTTTTTTTTTTTCGTTAATTGCCAATTCATCAAGACTATAATGAAAAATGATTATGATAGTTTTGAAACTGTTTGTATGAAAATATCATTAAAAAAAATATATTAACATCAAATAAATAATTGTAAATCATCGATCTAATACTTCGAATTAAATCACGATACAACAACAAAGAATGATATTGATAGTAACTGTCAGAAAATCAGAATCGTTATCAATGATCATATATTGATCTAATGTCAAGCAAAATTCCATGATGAAAATTTGAATCTCTATAGTTATCATTATGTGCTTTGTCATTAACATTGTTACATTAATGTATTCAATGCAACTGGAAAAGTAATAACTTTGATTACGAATGTAACAATAAATCCTTAAATGTTGAATTTCTGCTATTTTTATATGTTATCTAATAAAACTTGATATCGATTTCACAAAATAAATACTATTCTAATCTCTGACAACAAAAAAAAAATTTTCATTATTGATTTTGTTTTTGAATAAATCAAATGCATTATTTTACAAAACTAATCAATCGATCGTTTCATACGACCTCTGTATCATTTTATTTTGATTTCAACCTTCATATAAAACATCATAAACTAACTTTCGTTATTTGATACTTATTATATTTTGATTATGTCGTCATGCGATAAGATAAGACGTAAGTAACTAATAAACGTATGCACACCTTTATCAAAAGACGTAAAACGAAACCATTGATTATACATGAATATAGAACAACAGCTTATTTTTATGCGAGAAAAGAAGAACTAAGAAACAAAAAATGACAAATTTGTCCGTCTATCGAAATCAACAACTTGAAGATAAGATCAATAATTGTAAAATTGGTTCAAGAATAGATTTACGAAAACAACCATTAACAGATTCAGATGTAGAGATTATTATTAAAGAAGCAATTATTAAAAAGCAATGTTCTATGCTCTGGTTAATGGATAATAATATAACATCACAAGGTATTTTAAATCTAGCTTCAACTTTAAACAATAATACTACATTAGAAGGTTTATCTCTTTGTCATAATGGTATTAATGATACTGATGTATTTCATTTAGCACGTGCATTATCTAATAGTAATTCAAAATTGAACAGACTTGCTCTTACTTCAAATAATATCACAGATGAAGGTGTACAACATCTTGCTGAAATGCTTAAATTAAATCATTCATTAACTCAACTTTGGTTAGGTTTCAATAAAATCACTGATCATGGAATACAAATATTGACCGATACACTTGCTTATCATAATAAGACTCTTTCTGTATTATCTCTTTCATGGAATAATCGAGTGACTGATTCAAGTGTTGATTTTTTTATTAATATGTTTGAATATAATCAAATATTAAGAATAGTTTGTCTCGTAAATTGTAATTTATCCGAGACAAGTAAATTAAAACTACGAAAAGCAACAAATCTACGTACAGAATTTTATCTCGATCTTTAATTTCATAATTTTTTTTTTAATCGTGTATCTATAAAAAACAAAAAAGAATAAAATTCTCTTAGTAATTTTAAGACATATATTTTTATCAATTAACAAAACAAAAAAAGATTTATTATATTTCAAAGAATTATTCTACATCGATCCATCTTATTCAATAATTTTATCTTTTGAAATAACAACTTACTAAAAATATTGAAAATTTATTTACTTTAAACTAGTACTTAAAACAAAAAAGAAACAGGAAATTTAAATAATATCCTTATATTCCATTTGATGCACCATTTTTCCGTACATCACTACAAGCCCATAATTGATTTTCTTGTTTTCTCTATTCGATACTTTGTACAATTGATCTTCTATACACACCACATTGAATATTATGATCAAGTTTTTTCAGTTGTTCTAGAATTGTCTAAATAAAAATTGAAAAATAGGAAATAAAAATTTAATTAAATATCAAATTCTGATTTACTTGATTAAAACCACATTCAGCTAAAACTTCTTCTGGTAATAATTGTGAATGTAATCTTGGAGTATTAATTGCTTGTCTAATATCTTTTCTAAACCATAAATTAAGCATAACTACTTGAGCAGTAGTTGTCGTTATTTTCGTTCCACCATTAGCATTTAAAACTTCTAATACGTGTGGATTATTTTGATCAAACATAATTAAAGGTACTATTGATGAACTTGGTCGTTTACCAGGTGTAATATAATTAGCTAGACAAGCAGGAACACCAAAAAAATTTGTTGTATTCAGTGTAGAAAAATCATTTATTTGATTATTATAAATAATATCTGTTTCAGTACCAAATACCATTGAACCAAAACTAGAACATAATTAATCATATTTATTTGAATTCAAATTTAGTAATGTCTACTATAGATTAATAGTTGATATCATTGCAAGAGCATTACCATTATGTCCAATGACTGATAAATGAGATGTATCAGTTTTGATTTTATCAAGTCATGCTCCTTCATAATATTGAAATCCGTATGTTTTAACATTACTTAATAAACAAAAAAAAGAATAGATATTGTATTGTAATTAGAATAGGATACTTACTCAATATATTGCTTATACGATCAACATATTTTATTGATGTCAGATTTTGAATAAGCTCAAAGAATAAGAAAATATGATCAAAGACTTACTTCTTTCTTCTTCTTCAAATTTATCTCATGTAGCAACCTTCTGCTATGCTAAAATGTTTTCAACTCCATTTTTTGTGCATTATCCAGAGAATCATTAGGCTACGGAAGTCCTAAGAGGATATGAATACAAGTTGCTATATAGCTAACATATCAAATTTTCTCAATAGGACCTCAATCGTCTAATAAAATCATGTTTTCGTATTTCAATCAAAAATTTTTGCACAAACATCAGATTTAATTAAAGTAACTTGCATAAAATGTTTCACAAATGTTGAATATCGCAGCTGAAAATGATGTAGTTTTCCAAAATCCATGTTTTTAGATAAGTGCCTCTATTTTGAAGCTATGATGTCCAAAATTTGCGAAATTTTTCATAAAAATTAATCTGATTGAAGTTTATCTTTGTGTGACGATTTTTGATTGAAATACGAAAGTATCATTATATTGAAGAATTGAGGTTCTACTAGGAAAATCCAATATATCATGTAAATAGTAATCTATGCCAGTATCTCTTAAGATTTTCGTTGTCCTATGATACTCCCAATAATGCACCAAAAAGCCCGAGTTGAAAACTTTTTAACATTTCAGAAGGTTCTGTCGTCAGTGCAAAATTTTTTTTTTCGTAGAAGTCGCGAATAACTGACCAACTAATGTTCAATTCTAGCCGGTTTAAATCTCGAATACAAGTATTATTCTACCTTTATCGTGAATGTCTTTAACAATAAGATCAGCTAATTCACCTGTATAAAAAGCATCATCACCTTTTTCAGCAATTATTTCAAGTATACAAGCTAATTTAATTCGTTATATAGTATCACCATCACCATATAATTTATTTGTTTGATTATTTTTAATAATAATTTCTCTAAAAAGAAAAAATAAATATTTCATTGAAAAGAAATTTATTACATGCAAACCTCATTCCTGGAACTTTAAGAATATCCGATTTTGTTTCATTAAAGTTCTTTTCATGAAACACCTTCTCCAAATTTAGAATATGCTTTACGATAAGCTTGTAATTCACCAGGTGTAGCAATAGATGAAGCACCTAAAGAAAAAAAAAGAGATTTTTTTCTATTATAATCTACATTAATCGTAGACATACGTTAACGACTGATAAACATTGTTGAATTAGCAGTTAATCTTGCTTGTTCTCTCTAGACATACAAGATTTCATTTTTTTTTTGTTTTCAATTTTTTTTTCTAAAACTTACGCTAATAATACTATATGCTTTATTTTTTTGTCCATAAAATCATAAAAATATTAATATTACAAATGATTTTTTTTAACATACTTTGAATAAATAATCATCACACATTCACCACTAATATTCATCGAATGCTCCCGAAAAATAATATTCGAAAGAGTAGAATAACATGAACGGATGTTGTTTTTTATTTTCAAGTATACACATTCCCAACAAAAACATTATTCTCTACGAAAAATCAAATCCAAGAAAGATGAAGATTTTTCTCGACAGAAAAGAATCACAAACAGTCATAACTTTCAACCATACCTCTACGATCCCCTACTCTACCTTGGGTCGAACAATATAAATTAGTATTTTTTTGGCAAATGATATTTTTATATCACACATCCCATGACAAGAATATATCCTAGCTGTCTTGTTAAGAAGAAAAATATACCAATATGTGGGTTGATTGCAAAACTACTAAGTGTCCGTCAATTCTCAGCATCGCATATGGATAAAGGATGATTACATCACAATATTCTCAATCAATTCTGTTTGACGTTGGTCTCCAAAAAAGACCCAGAAACTATGTTTTCCACCGTTACTCTAATATTTATAATGCAGATTGGTATTAACAAAACTAACTGTGAGTGTAGGTGAGACTAGAGGATCAGGTTGTGGTGCGTGTGCATCTTCTCTTCACCTACATCTACATCCGTATCCTTACGCAAAACACTCAGCCTCACACCTACATCCAAATCACTCGATCCCACACCCAGTTCAACACCCACCAACAAGGAGACCAACATCGACACCAAAATCACTCAATGCCTTACCCACCCAAAACTACACATCCTCAACACCAACAGCTAAATCACCAGATTCCACACACTTCCATCCACAACCGTCGAAACTTACACCCAAACGATCCAATTTCACGCAAACACCGACCTCCCACGCTCATATCAACAACCACAGTCAAATCATCCACAAACACCCGTCGTCCGCACCAACATCCAAACCACTCGATTCAAGGCACATTTCCGTCGACAACCACTGACACACACTCAAACGATCGGATCCCGAGCCAACGTCTATCCACAACCATCGTCACGTATACCCAGACTGCTCAACTACACACCCACATCTACACCTACACCCAAACTCTCCACATAAACACCCATAACACCCGATCTTAAATTCACTCCTATCCGCAAGCATCGACATCTACACCCAAATGATCCAATCCCACACCAACACACATTCTCACGCACAACCACTGACACTTACACCCAAACAATCCAACTGCAAACCAACATTCACCACACCCACACTGATACGCCCAACCAAAGTTGTTAGAGGACTTGAAATTTTGGATTTATAAATTTTTAAGCACTTCTGTACTTCGAAGCTAATAAAAATGTAGTTGCAACGTGAAAAAATGTGATCCCAACAAAAGCTCATATTCAAACTTATGACTTTCAAAATAAATTAGACGTCTAGTGGGCTTCTATTCTGTATGTATGCGGGAGGAGACGGGAGGAATAGATGAACCAGATCAACAACACATTAATAGTTCGTTGAACAAGAAACTAAGAAAATATTTATTTAATCTGTTTGAATCAAGCAGCTTTGTTGTTCAAGACGAAATTGAAGCAATTTCATCTCGTGGTAAACAAGTCGACGAAGTTCATCGTTATCTTAATTTCGAAGTAAATAAATCAAACTATAATCTAATCCTTTGCCATTTTGGAAAGAGCATCAAGACGAATTCCCCCAATTTGTCTTGATATATCCAATCTATTCACTCAATACCTGCTAGCTACATTAACTACTTAGTGTAGAGTGACAATTCTCAGTAGTCGGTTTGATTATACTAGAGAAGAAGAATCGGTTTTAATGCTGAACAACATTTTATTGATTGGATCCATGCAAAGAAATAAAGTATTTTTATAAAAACATTTCTTTTTTTTTGTTTTCTTTGAATCGTTTTTGTTATCAAGTGTGTTTTTTTTATTGTTTGATTTTTTTTCTTGTTAATAGCATCCTCTATGTGTTAAAATAACGATGATAAAACCTCGAAAGTTCATATTTTTTACATTTATTTATTTCCTGTAATGAACATGTCATTAAAATAATCACTCAATATGTTTCTATTTTTTTTTTATACTTATAATATTTGTCATCATGGTATACTTTAGTTATTGTATTTCAAAATGGTTGGAAATAAATTAGCTGCTAGATAACATATAAACTAATATGTAATTTGGGGATCGAAAGTCAAAATTAGGATTCTTTCTGTCCTGTTCTACACGACAGAACGAAGCAACAATCTATGTCCTATGCTCACCTGTGACTCTCCCCCTTCAATGGCTATCGAAATGCTCGGCATTAGAACAGAATAAAGAAAAAATACATATTTCAAATTTCTGACAGTACATTGTGCGCACCGTATGCTTTGCAAAGTCTGCTCGTGTATGAAATATCCTTTATGCATATTTATTTAGAAGAAAATGTTGTTTTTGTAGAAGCCTAAGTTTCAATATGATTATCAATTTTCAGTTTCGTCAAGTAATAATTATTTAATGATTATGATTATTTTAAATGTTACTATGAACTACTACTTTTGCATGATTTTGACTGTTGAAACATTTGGATTAGAATATAAGCTATGAAATATCACGCATTCAAATGTTTAGATTTAATATCAGCCAATAGAAAAGCTCATAAGCGGATGTGTAATAATCACATATTTAATTTTTAAAATTTTCTTAGTATATATATATATCGTAGGAATTGATGAAATAATAAAGATAAGTTGCCAAATAACTTTGAAAAAGTTTTTTTTTTGTTGATACTGTCTCTTGGTATTATTCATAGGGTGAGACTCTACTCTGGAATCATTTCATCGAAGAGTATTGAAATATTAACAAAAATCATCTGTAAAAGGTTCATATTCAACACAAATAGTAATACTTTTTTTATTTTCTCCAAGATCAGGGCAGAATCCGTATTTATCTTCAATATTTAATGATTTACTCGTAAGTGTGCCATACGTGACTATTTTTTATAGTATTCAATATATTGTAATAATAATATTGATTGTTAATGTCAGGCCTAAAAACTTGAAGTTTTTTTAAAGCATGACTACAGTTACAGGGTGGATGTGGGGTTTGGGTGTGATGGTAGGTGTGAGTGTGGAGTGTGTGAGTGGGTATAGGTTTAGGTGCGAGTATGAGTGTAGATCTTGTATTCACTCATATATCGTGTGGAAATTATCCGTGCGCAACTTTTTCCTTGCGCGTCTTTCGTATATCGGTCTCTTGGTATTACCCATCCGGCGAGACTGTACTGTGGAATCGTTTCATCCAAGAGCACTAAAATATTTATAAGAGCCATCTGTAAAAAAGATCATATTCAATATAGATAGTAACGCTTTTTTTTTTGTCCTCGAGATCGGCGCAGAATCGGTATTTACCTTCAACAATTGATAATTCACTCTTATGTATGCCATACGTGACTATTTTTTTTTTGTAGTGTTCAACATATTGTAATAATAATATTGATTGTTAATGTCAGGCCTAAAAACAAGACAATGATTACAACAGATTCTTGTCAAAAAATTCATTTGTAGTTCTCAATAAAATAAACTTAATATTGTAGAATTCATTGAATGATATTATGTATAATAAACTGAATACATGTATCAGCTGATTTCGAACATTGATATTCCTATTCAAAAACGCTAAGTATATAAAATTCTTGTTTTTCTTTTCGATAATTTCGAAGATTATATATACGTATAGTAATTATTCGAATAAAAATATTTGTAATTCGAGTATTTTTCTTTCATTGAAACAATTCTAAATGAATATTCTCCGCTTAACATAAGTTTATAAAGCATTTTGAGACATAAATCAATGAATATATTGATAACAAAAATCAGACTGAGCACATGATAAACATGCTGAACAAACTTGATCAATCCATCTGTTTTCATCAAACTATGTATTTATAGTATGCGTAACAGATATGACATACAGTTCAAGTGCATGATAAAATCATATGTAACAATATTTACTCATTGGTGTTCAACTACGTCATATGACTCGCTCAAGTGATTAATCATCAATTCTATATCACCTTCCTTCCATTCTTTGTTTTCTTCACTCTCCAAGAGGAAGAGTAATACTATGAAGAAACAGACCGAGAAAGGTGACACTTAAATAGAATAAACGAAAAGAGGAATCACGGAAAAGAGAAAATCGTTATATCATTCAATGAATCACTAATACTTTTTCACAAGTCAAATGAATGAAATGGCGTCAAAGAATTAACTACATATTCATTATCTCAGCTATTAATCATTAATCGAATGAAATAATATGACATTAACATTGATAAACATATGCGAGAAACAAGGAAGCTGAAAATATTGACAGTTATTTGTAAATTTACTAAGTAAAACAAAAAAATCACGCACTATTTAATATAACATATTATGACTCACTCAAATAATGTTTTTATCATCATTTCAATAGGAACAATATAGGAAAAAACCTACATTTTAACTTGTCATACAGAGTATAGGTATTATCATTTAATATTCATCAAATGACTAAAGATAGACTTCCAGAATTGAAAGCAAATGTATGCATTATTTCCTATTCTTATCCACAACATGATTTCATTTATATATTTACTTATTTTAGACTGAAAAATATGGAGATGGTAAAGATATCAGTATTATTAATCATTTCACTGTTATTAATATGAAAGAAGCTTTTTTCATAGATTTTTTTGATAAAGTGAGTATAAGAAGTTTTTATTACAACAAAAAAAAAGAATTGTTAGCGCAAACACTTGCTGGATTAAAATGTGAAACTTAATGAATTTGTATATATTATACATCAAGGAATCTTGTAACATATGTTCCGATTTGTGACTCCTAAAGTAACGATATCCCGATGATGAAAGTTACTAT